GAGGGCAGTGTCACTGGTCCTCATATGTGGGATCCGAACCGGGGCCCTCTGGCATCCCAAGCGAGTTCTTAACCATCGCGCCACTCGGCCGGCCCCTATAACACACTTTAAAACACACCTTCTCTCAACTGTAGCTTATACCCAACTGACTGCACTGAGCAGGTTGAAACTTGTCACACACTGTTACTAAGGTTCGACATGCTGCCGCCTGTACTGAAGACCCCTGCCTTTCTATTGGATGGCACTCAGCAGCAGCAGTCACCGTATTTGTTGATCATAGCAGAAAGGCTCCATGTCACACATCAGTTTTGGTATGGCAATTTCTATCAAATAAAAACATTATGTTGTGTCCTCATCCACCTTATTCACCGGATCTGGGTGAATCTGGCACCATGTAAATTCTGGCTCTTCCCCAAAATCAAAATGACCATGAAAGGTAAATGTTTTAAAACGATTCAGGACATCCAGGCAGCCAGGACAGCACAGCTAAAGATACTCATGAAAAAGGGCCTCCAGAACTGCTTCAGAAAGTGGCAAGAATGATGGGATAAGTGTGTATGAAGTGAGGGGAAGTATTTTGAGGGGGATTAATTGCAATATGTCTTCTACTGTAATAAATTGTTTTTAATTTAGACATTCACCATGTTTTTTTTTAGCACAACTCACAGCTATGGATAATAAAGGTAGTTCAACTACAATTGCTAGCTCATCCTTTAGATTTTTCTCCAACAGTTGTCATTCAGGGTTTTTGTTGTTTTGGTTTTTTTTAATGTGAATTCTTGTATCTCCATCTCTCAAAAATAGTGAATAAGGAATCCATAATAACTGAAAATAGACTTCTGAATAGTGGGTACATGTATATTAGAAGAGGCATCTTCAGTTTAGCACTTATGCAAGTTTGTGAGTGAAGATGTTTATGAATTTGTAACAATAAATTGTATGTTGGCTCATCATGTCGTCTCATGTGTTCCTGTTGATGAACTTTAGGTCAAGATGTTTTAGTGTTATCCTTCAATGGCAGAGTCTTCAGGGAACATATCAGCCATATGTACTTGACATACTTATTAGGTGGGTGAATTAGACTGAAGCATTTACTGTCTTGGAAGACACTAAAGCATAGTTTTTGATCAGCTCAAAACATAACTATGCTTTTTTAAAACTTTGGTTATTGCAGATAATGGTGTGTATTGACATTGCAAAATATTATAATTAAAGAATAGGCCTAGTCTAGTTCTTTAAACAGTGCTTTTGGTTTTCCATTATGAAATAGCTTTAGGGCAACTATTTCTATTCAGACTAAAAGCAAATGCAGCCAGCCTTTGTGACCAAGGGCTCAATTTTGTCACTTTATTATAATAATTAGCAAGTGGAAGAGATGTTATATTGATTTAGAGGCAAATTTACACTTTATTATTGTTATTTCTCTGCTCCTGGACAAATTAACACAAAATAAGGTATGCATAATTTAAAAAGACATTAAATAGATCAATTTCAGAACATTTAAAAGGGGCTTTGGGATTTCAGATTATTCACTTCATTATAGCCGTAATTCTCAGCAGCTATCGGGAATGATTTTTTTTTTTTTAAATTGGGGAATTGGGGGAATGGGAACAGACAAGTTGCTGTCGTCTTATTCTTCAGTCTAGCTGTGGAGGACGTTGCTTCACTGGCCCAAGTTAGCACCATCATTGCACTCTTCCCGGGCGAGGCACATCAGTTGCCAGCTTCTGGACGGCCGCTCTCTGCGGCTGCTGGCCGCTCACACTGGCTGCTGGCTACACACGGTAGACCATGGCAACCCACTGTCATAGGAGCTGCAGCCTACGCCATCGCCGGTGAGTCACTGCAGCCCAGCTCCAGGTCGAGCTCTTGTTCAGCATCTTAGCTGCGGAGAGCAGTGTCACTGGCCCTCATATGTGAGATCCCAACCGGGGCCCTCTGGCATCCCAAGCCAGTTCTTAACCATCGCGCCACTCGGCCGGCCCGGGAATGATTTTTAATTGTTGCAGAGTAAAAGATAATTTTTAAATACTATGGGATGTGCTTAAAGAAGTTTAATTTGAGGGGACAAATGCTCTCCTCTACCCTATGTGACTCATACACCATCCTTGAGGAGCAGTGGCCTTACCCCCTCCATCTTTCCATTAGTACTACAAAATCCACACCACCCCTATCTAAGTGTTATAAGTGCGCTTTGGTTATATGTACAGATAGTAGGTATAATGATTAGCTCTTCTGTCCATGAGACATTATAGCTTCGGATCATCCATATTTCAAGCCAGGGCTTCTTAAATACGTTTTTTACTAGTGCTTAAATTCAAAGCAATCAAATTCATATAACACTTTATCATTTAAAAATCCAGTAAATTTTATTAGTAAAATGCCAGGTTGTAAGATCCATGAGGGCAGAAATTTGGTTTGTTTTTTCTTGTTTGTTTGTTTGTTTACAACCTTAACCCCAGCACCTACAACAGTATCTGGTGTATAGTAGCCATTCAATATTTGCTGAATGTATGAATACATTTTTTTAAGACACTGTGGAAAAAATATACAATATGGGCTGCCTTTGGTTGTATGAGATGAAGACCCCAGATTTCATATAAAGAAATGTAAATTAATGTTCCAACTCTGCTACTTATTTACTGTGTGAGCTCAGTTATTCCACCTAACCTCTCTGTGCCTTTCTTATCTATGAAATAAAGAAATTAGATTTGATGAAAGATAAAGTCCAGCCCATGTTTAAAAGTGTATAATTCACTGACTCATGATTAGTAGCATGCATTTGGGAAGTAGCTAGCTGGAAACGAAGTCACAGTTTGTGGCCATGAAACCAGTGTTGCCAACTGGCATATTAGGGCTTGGAACTAAGACTTTGGTCTCTGGCTACTAAAAATTTGGCTCTAACGATTAAAATAATTACCAACTTAATTTTAAAATGGAGAGGGGCTTTCTATGCCTTGGCGTGGAAAATTGATTTTTAGGATTAAGGAAAGCTAAATCTGACACAAAAGAGTTAAGATGTAGCATAACAGTAAAAATCACTAGCCTTAAATCCTGGCTCCAAAATATTTTGAGACCTCGGCCAAATAATTTAATCTCCTTGTGCCTTAGTTTTGGTGTCTGTAAAATAGGTTAATGATAATATCTAAATGAATAATTTATTAAGTTCCTGGGACATGGTAAGTAAG